CCCCCCCCCCCCCCCCCCCCCCTCACCCATGGAGCTGATTTTGAGACACCTTTGGCAAAGTAGGAAGGAACGATTGGCTGTCGGTGTCCGGTCCTTTGGGAACAACGCTCCGTCCTCTCGAGGACGCATGGCCAACGGTCTAATCGTAAAACTATGTGAAGCATAACTATTCGGTGCAATCCCATGGAGCTGTGGTATAATGGTTAGAATTGATCCCTGTCACGGATCAGATCCGGGTTCAATTCCCGGCAGCTTCGTTTTTTTTTTTCCCGCCCCCGAGAGCCATCGCACGAGGTGGGGTAATAGAGAAGCCGTGGGATGACGAGCTCAAAGAAATAGGGGAACAGAGAAGTCTTCAAGCAGTACCTCAGTGAGGAGTCTGAGGGGAGTTGGGAAAAGTACAGGGTCAAGAGAAAACAGGTCAAGGAGTTAGTAAAAGGAAAACATGCATTTGGGAGGAAGTAGTGCAAACCAACAGAAGCCATAAAGCGTATGTGGCAAGGGATTGGTAGGATGGCAAATAACATCGCGCACGGGGGGGATACAGGGGTAACAATGTATATTGCGAGGTGGACTAGTCAGCAGTGGGAAGGGGGATATTGAGGTTGTAAAAAAGGACACTACAAGAGATTTGGCGTGCCGTCGGAGAATGAAGCTCTTGACCAAGTACTTCTGATACCTCTGAGGGACTTCAACTGCAGATCGACGCAGCGAACCATTTTGCTCACATCGAGATTGTCTGCCAACGTTAAGAAGAGTGCCGTCATGGTATGCAACGAGGACAGGGAGAAACCAGTAATAGAATACAGATGGAAGCGGGGGGTCGAGGAGCTTGCAGAGGTGGAAGTGGACGCATGGTCTCAGGAAGAAGAAGAAACGTCGAAGGCAGGCGTTGGGAACGTAGAGCCAGAGAAGGAGTTCACTGAGCACGAGTTTGAGACTTGCGTGAACAAGCTGCAGTGCCACAAAGCAGCAGGTGGATCAGTACACATATCCCGGAGTAGAGAGATTGAAAAAAGGCTGTTTTTATACTACACACATGTCCAAGGCAGCGGAAAGGGGCAAAGCACGGGAAGCTGCACCCAATACTCGCAAACCGGCACCACGATACACGCATCACATTGACAGCAGTTTTGAAGAGCGTAATCGTACCGCCGCTAGAGTGTGCCGGACAAGTATGGGAAGGAAGAAAGAAGGCAGTCAAAGAGCGAGAGGCGGCGCAGATGAAAAGCAGCGAAACCCATCCTAGGTTGCTGAGAGCGCACAAGTAACGCAGCCGATAGGGCAGAACTGGGGATCTAGTCCCTACGATCGGGAAGAGACGCACAGAAGCTAAAATAACAGTACCGGATGTGCGGATTGGGAGAGGAGAGGTTGCCGAGAATAACTTGGGAGAAGTGGGCAAACAATAAGAGGGTTAGATAACCCACGGAGTGGGTCAAGGTTGTAGAGACGTACGGAAGGAGTTTGGAATTGGCGAAGGTGATACGCTGGAAACGGAAGGTCTATTGTAGAGGGGTTCGAGGAGACGATATATGTTGCTTTGCGGAGAGAGAAGAACAGAATCTAACCAAATAAACCAAGGAAAAAGAGGTTCTAGATGTGTATGAAATGTTGAAAGAAGGAACAGGTACCTACACGGACCAATGGATGCAGGAAAGTTGAAGGTTAAATTTAGGACCGGGGGCATTGGCCTTCGAGAACGTAGACGAAGATTTAGGAAGGTACACGAAGACAAGTTCAAATGTGATTGCGGCTGCGAAGACCGTGTTCATGTAGTTGCGGAATGTCGGTTGTACAAGGAGAGGGAAGTGTACATGACTGAGCTGGGAAAAGTAGAAGGAAGATACAGGGAGATGTTTGAGGCATGGAATAGCCAGGAGAAGACGGTAGCTGCTGGGACATAGGAAGTGGGTTGAAAAGGCGGGAAGTGACATCGATAGGATAGATAGGCTAGGGAACACATGGCAAGCCACCTTTGGCAAAGCAGGAAGGCGATCGGCCATTGGTGATCGGTCCTGTGAGAACCACGCTCCGTCCTCTCGACGACGGGTGGTCAATGGTCTAACCGCTAAGGCATGCGAAACATACGAGTACGCCCCCTCCCGGGAGCCATCGGGATTGGGCTTTTGTCGCTTCGGAACGACGTTGCAAAACAAGCCGATCCCTTCCTGCGACAACCAGGTTACAGCCTTTCTTTCGCGTAATGTATTTCATTGCGGTAGTCATAATTGTAGTGGAGTAGACTATGTTGTGCGGGGTCGAGAACCCTCACTCCTCGCAAAGGGGGATGATCGCACCACGTTGTGTTAGATTGGTCAAGCATCCTCGAGGCAGTTACATATGCTTGTAACTATCTCTGTAAGTGAAAGCACCAGAAAATCAATCAAGCCATTCGCAGCTGTCACCCGTATGCAACGAGTAAGCACAAGATGCCAGACACCCTTAACAGGATGCACCGCACCCTCCATGCGAAGCGCCCAATACCTCACGGCCCTTCGCGCTTGGTGATATGAGAGCCTGTGGTCCGGGAGAACCCGGCGTGCTCCGTCCCGGCTTTTTAGAGAGAGGGCAATGATCTACCGACTACGGCATGCACGACTATGAGTACCCCCACCTGGTGAAACGAGCCTGGACCCGTGACAACCCGGCATGTCGCTCCGTCCCAGGGATGCGAGGTCTATGGTCTAACGACTACGGGATGCGTTTACATGAGTATCCACCCCTGTCACGAGAACGTGTGGCCGTTGGTCCAACAGCCAGTGAAAGGCATGCAAAACATGAGTACCCCCCCCGCCCCCCTCTGCTCCACGCACCTGATGAGGGGCATCGCCCACTCCTAACGACTACGGCATGCGTATACATGAGTATCCACCCCTGTCACGAGGACGCGTGGCCATTGGTCCAACAGCTAAAGGCATGCAAAACATGAGTACCCCCCCCCCCGCCCCCCCCGGTGTTTGCCATCGGGGTTTGGGTTTTCGTCGCTTGGCAACGACGTTGTAAAACAAGCCAATTCACTTCGTGAACTCGACAACCAGGTTACCGGTTTTTTTTTTTACCTCGTTTTTTTTTTGGCGGTAACCATGAATGGTGGTCGAGTAGATCATGTTGTGCGGGGTCGAGAACCCTCACTCCGCGCAACGGGGGATGATCGCACCACGTTGTGTTAAAATGGTCAAGCTTCCTCGAGGCAGTTACACAGTGCTTACAACTGTCTCTGGAAGTGAAAGCACCAGAAAATAAATTAAGTCATACGTACCTGTCATCCGTACGCAAGGAAGTAAGCACAAGATGCCGAACACCCTTAGCAGGATGCAGCTCACCCTTCATGCGACTCGCCAAATACCTCACGGCGCTTCGCGCTTGGTGATGTGAGAGCCTGGTCCGGTGAGAACCCGGCGTGCTCCGTCCCGGCTTTGTAGGGATGCGAGGTCAATGGTCAAACGACTACGGCATGCACGACTATGAGTACACCCCCCCCCCCCCCCTGCCCCCCCCCCCTGATGAGGGGCATCCCCCATTCCACCTGGGCGGGCCCCCGG